ATAAACATAGATTAAAGCAACATAATCTAACACCAAAAAAAAAAAGCAACAAAATCATCAGACAAACATGTTCCAAATCGGCTCGAAGATAGCCAAGCCAAATCAGGTTGCCTGGAGGATCAAACACTAAGAAGGGATGTAAACTGACTCATTCAAGTACTAATTAAGAATCGGACCAAAAACAAAAGTGCTAATTAAGAACAAAGACATTCAAGTGGAAGTGACCATGATGTCCATTGCGAAGAAACCCCAATTTTATGCTTGAAGTAAGAACAAGATGAATATTATGAATATGAATATCAGATACCTTATAGCTTCGAGAATTTCTAAAAATCTTGAAGTGCCATCCTCAACTGGAGCCATATCAGGATTATATTGCAACCATCCGATACCATCAGAGGAACCATGCAACGTCCTTTGAACTCGAGACATAATACTGAAATACAAGAGTAAATGTACATCCAGAATGAGATGCTGGAGCATAATCACACCATAGATTCTCTAGTGCACACATCTTAGTATTTTACTCATTCAAATGCAAACACTAATTACCTACTGAGTTGAAGTTGTGTGCATCTGATATAAGAGAGAGAGAGCCTCCAACAAGCCACAGCAAACTTATAGGCAAGTTTCAGACTAAGTAAAGGGAGCATCAACCTAGACACAGGCAAAGAAAAATAAGGATAAACAAGGAAGAATACAGAACACAGGAAGACAAACTGACAGGATAATTCTGTTTGCCAACAAGAGAGAATGAGGTTTAGGGAACACGAGCATGACTGGATCAAAATGATCGAGAATATGTAGTGCATGAGTTCTTCAAAGTTACTATGGTAAAATAGATTCTCAACAGTGCGATGAACCATAAAGCGCAAGATAGATTACATAATGGGAGACAAACAGAAACCACAAATAATGTGGTAATAAAAACCCATTGCTTGGAATATGTCATGCCTATCTTTTTTGGAAGTAGGAAGAAAGAAGTTAGAACCGTACCCCTGAAAAATGAAGGGGACACCCCTAAAATTGTCATACATTTCTGCAACTTCAGATCTTGCATGGCCGAGAAGTTCTTCCTCGACACCACTGATCTTTTTGCATGGATTCCAGGACTTGAAGATGATGGACCATCCTCAAAAGCAGATTTATATATACAGTCCAATGAAGATCTTGGGTGGCAACCAGAAAAGGCCACCGAGCCTTCTGAGTATCTATTAACATCTCTTAGGACAAGATTTTCTGGATCATTGAAAACAAAAAGGAAGTATGAACAACCCCAGATACGAAAGAAAACTAAAAGGAAGGATAAAAACTCCCGATACTGAACAACGAGAATTTATGTAGTAACACTGACAGAATTCGCACAGCGGACAAGGAAGCCAGAAAATGAAACTTACCAATAAAGAAAAGAAATTGCTGAGTAATATGAGAGCTCAATGCCAAAATATGAGAGAAAATATCATTCATTGAAGAGCAGAGCCCCAGGTCATCAAGTGGACATGGGATATTTCTCAAGGCATGGCAAGGGGCCTGATAAAAGGGCCATAAATTAGACCTGGAAAAGAAATTTCAAACTTGGAAACAAATAATTTAAGTCCACAGAACAAGATGTGTTGCTTAAACTGGCTGTGATCTAGAAATGCCATTCAACAGATCATTGTAAGATGGCAACTGAACATCTTCCAGCGATGTCTTCGAACAAAGGGGTAAAATAACAAACTAACTGGAGACCTGCGGCAAGCTACTCGAAAATCCTATCCCAATCGATGTTTTAAGATGAATACTTCAAAAATATCATGAACTCAGGTACATCGAGAATCCAAGAATTTCTGGTGTTCTCATATAAGAATGGCTCATATTGATACACTGCACATCTGGAAGCAAAATCTTGATCTATAAACGTATCTCACCGTATTTGCTAGCTGACACCCACGTCCATCAAGAATGCAAGAATTTGGCACATTTCCAACCTGATATGATGCAGTAGAAAAACAAGAAAACAAACGTAAGCTTATTAAATTCAACTAAAGAGCTTAGTCCACACACTTGAGTTATATATGATTAGGCAGATTTCTAAAACTCACGGTGGTATAAGTTTCAGATGTCCCATCGTTGTTGTAATAATCGCCCATCAACACATAAGCTCCAGGAAGTGTGCCTTTGTGCATGAAAACATAAACATGCCTTCAGAAGCATAAAGATGATATAGTAAAAGTAGCTACACGCAAAAGAAACATATTATAAATAGCATGAGACGAAGGTAAAGGCCAGCAAGTAATTTCAGGGCTCATGTCTTTTGGACAGATAAAAAGATTAACCAGAGAATATTCAGGAGGCCCATATTCACCTAGCCTCTCTGAACTAGTACATCTAGACATTTAAATCGTCGCCGAGGTGAATAGAATCCAGAAGCAAGAATCTTGGCTTGAGTTTGCTAATATTGAAGTTCCATATTCTACAATTGGTCATAATCACAACCTTGCTACAAAAACATTGCCCTCATGCACAGTTCACTCCACAGCACAGTCCGCAGTCAACAACAAAAAAACCAAAAGCAAACTTAAATTGCTACACAGCCAGTCCCAAAAACACCAGAAAAACCACGATTCCACATGAGATGGCACAGCTCAAAAGGCACCGGACAGAAAAGTCATGGCAAATACATGGCAAACGCGAATCAGATAGAGAAAAAAGAAGGGACAAGTTTACTCTCAGACATTGCAGACAAGGAGGAGGAAAAAAAACACAGCAAAGCAAAGGGTGGAAGCTTACACAAACGAAGTTCCAAGATGCAAGGAGCAGGCTCAAATCTGACGAAGCCGCACAGAGAACGTGGTCACATTAATAGACGCAAAACAATTGCGGCTTTCCCCCAAAAATCTTGGGATGTAGTAAAGAAAGAGAGAGAGAGACGAACCGAACGAGAAGAAAGTCATGGAAACGGAGTCGGAGCAAATGAATAATTGCCGATCTTTATCCATTTGCTTCTTTTTCTTGAATTCCAAGCGTCCCCACTGTTGGAGTTCGGCGAATACTTCGGGACCCTTGTTTCTCACACCGGGTACATTCACATGAGTTTAGAAAAACTGAAGTGTTGTCCGACGATATGTGATCCATGCGTGCGGAATGCGGGGGTTCGGGCGGCGCCCACGACACGGGTGCCCCATTGCCGGTCAGGGCCAGTGGTTTGGGGGCAGCGCCCCCCGACGGGGGTTCCGCTGCCCGGTTAGCGGACGGCTGCCCCGCTCGCCGGTGAGGGGATGGGGGCTCGGGGGCAGCACCCCCGAAACCTCAACGGATTTGGGCTGGCCCGTATGGTGCGAGATTAAGAGATTTCATATAGGTTTAGATTTTGGGCCCGTTTGGGTCATATATATATTTTGCTCGTTTTTCTGATCATTGTAACGAGTTGAGTGGCTGTAAACCGAAAAACATAGTGAAATCTCTTTGCAGGAAGTAGCCCTAACAAGGGTGAATCTGGGTAAATTCGTGCATCATCTATTTTCTCTATTTTCTGCGTGATCGTTCTGTTTCGGTTCTCGATACGTCCCTTCACCCACCACCTCGTGGTCACCTTTCAGCATTACCCAGATGAAAGAATCAATAAAAAAATGGTTTCTTTCTCTCTTGGTTGGGAAGAATCGAAGCAACCGATGCCAGAGACAGAGAGCACTCCATCTGAACCGGGATAAAAGAGCAGCGTGCCTGCGGCAACTCGAGAGCCAATGCTTTAGCTTTTTTGTTTATAACCGAAAACGAGAACTGGGACAACCGGGTTTCGTGCGCTCGAAAGCAGTGACGGTGTTCGGATGCCTGGACGACAAATGGGGTGGCAAGATCGAACACGCGGCGTGCTCGGGACGATCGAACTATCCATGATCATGCGTCGACGTCGGACCCACGTTTCCTTCTTAAGGATGACGAATCCACAAGCCGACCCATAAGGTAAGGACATACATAAAACAAGGAACAATTTCGAATGTCACTCGAGGGTGACTCCAGACGTTGGTCTGTTTTTTGTCGCAACCTCGTCGTTTACCTTGTCCTAGATTGGTGACCTTACACATATATCTAACATTCATATTTGCGTCATAAAAAAACCACCCAAATTGATATTTACACGACAAGAAGTTTTCATCCGAGTAAAAAAAATTCTAAATTGGTTCTCCGATTCAAACATATTATTTGTTAGCGTTCTGTCTTATACCCTTTAAAATACAACACACGTGACATGCGAATGCAAAATGGATCCGACGTGAAAAATCCATGCGCATTGACCCATATGCACTTGAATGGAGGGTAAGTTTGCGTGAAGGATATTGGTTTGAAATTATTTATGAGATGAAAATTTGTTTGGGATAAATATGTCAAGATACCAATTCGAGATTTTATTTTTGGAAAGAAAATTTACTTTTAATAAACGTATCATGGGATACCGGGTTGGGATTTATAGTAGTATTAATCCTAAAAATTATGTTGTCTCAAAGCAAACGCATTTCGACATGAGGACCTGTTCACATAATATGAATAAAAAGGTCGAAGGGCATTATGAATACTATTGAATTTGGTTTACTTTATCCTCGTCTTTCTTTTTGAGCTGGTGTTGAACTTGTCCTGAACACTTGGTCATGTAGCTCTCTAAAGCAAAATCACTGGTTGCTGCAGAAAAAGCTACAAGATCGAAGATCTAAATTTCTTTTACTAGACCAAAATGTTTAAGAGTAGGCTTGTACAAGAACACTACATACACTTTATGCATGACACAACAACAAGAGCCTCTACATATCCCATCTCACAATGACACAAAAATGGAAAGCTCTATTAGATCAGCAAAATGCCAAAATCATGCTCGCTCACCTTTGAGATCCATTTCTATTACCTCTAGGTCGAATTGCCCTCATCTTGATTCTCACTTGGTTTCCTTGATCAAAATGCTCGTCAAGAAAGCTTCCAAAGAACTATCTACGTTTGATCTGAAACACTCTGTTATACCAAATCGAATGAAGCGTCATGTAGAACAGGTCGTACTTTACAGGCTTCGCATGCCACAGAAAATGCCGCTGAACCTTTCTTACTCTGAGCTGCATCTCCTTGTACTTCTCTTCTGGTATTGAAAGCAATATGTTCTTCAGATTGGGAATGTCCTTCTCAGCCAGAATTACGGAGAATGCCCCCCAATCGAGAACCTCGAAAAATGGCGGCACAAAGTTGTCGGATATTATCACCGGCACACATTCATAAAAGATGGCTTCAACCACACGAGGGCTATTCACCTCATAACCCTTGGGGCATATGCAGTACTTACTACTCTTCATGTGCTGGATGTAGTTCATCTTGCTTGCAACACCAGGTGGCATTGGACCAAAGATCTCCATATCTGGGTCTTTATCTTTCCAATGTTTAAGCAGAATTGGTCGTAGATACCCGTGGTTATTACCAGCATAGAAGGCAAGAATGCGCCTCTGGGATGGAGGTTTCCCACCAAGATCTCTGAGAGGATTTCTTGCGGAACGGATATATGTTTCTGGTAGAGACACATCTCTCCCTATTTTGAAGCCTGCAGTTACATCAGCATTGCATAGTGCTTTGATGCATCGTTCCATATGATGCCTTGTCTCGTAAGGAGCCTGAAATGAAGCAACATTGGGCAATAAGACTAGGGTGTGGATAGATTGATAGCACTGACAATCAAAAGAATTGCTATGATGCAAACTTTTACATCTCTGTCGATAACATTTTGATGATTGGAGCCCCAGCTTGACACAGAATTTTTTAGTACTTCGAGTTCATCACAAATGGCTCAGCAAGCCACAGAAATAAAGGAAACGAAGAAATGAAAGAAAACATCAATGGCCTACCCAGTCATGACAGGCCGCTAAAAAGTGATCGGCCCCTCCTGTTCTGTTGAAAAATGGATATCTTGCTGATATCTTGTCAGTGTACTGCTTCAGATATTGGCGTAGGTTTGTCCGATTATGAGAGTTTCGAACATAAACCGTGTACTCTAGCATTCGTGAACTAAATGGCATATAGAACAAGTGAGCTTTTCGAGGATCCTTCACCACAAATTGTTTGTTCCCCTCCATTAGCTTCATAAACCAACCTTCTGAAGCATATAAGCCTTTAAGTATTGGTCGATGGAAGACGGGTCTTGCTCCTTCCTTGTAGACATAGACTTTAAGAATGTGTTCCATGAGCTGGTAACTCCTAAAATGCAATTAAAAAATTTTAATTTCAAATGAGAACCACAAGCATCCTTGCCTGTTCTCTATGCACAAATATTGGAAAGTAAGATGTGGATCAGTAACAAACTTAGCAGGACAAGATAATTGTAGCCCGAAGAGAAGGCCTGGACCTGACACTGATATTCTGTGCTTAGCTATCAACTTATATTCAAGCTAAATAAAGTAAGTTCTGATAGGGGTCCAATTCTTGTTGGCTTAGTGAAAAATAACTGCTCTCAACCTGTTGACATTGGAACTACAGATGCATCTCACAGTCGAATAGGGAAAGAGCTTGATTTAGCAACTCCATGTTCTGGGAGTAAGTGAATGAGGTGAAAAGCCACATAATTCACTACAGCTGCTCCATGGACAAATTAAAAATAAAGCATCTTAGTCAGGTCAACAAGCCAAAGAATAGCTCCTCATGATCTCACATCACCTATGCCTCCATAAAAGTGCAATTGCAGGCCATGAAATATTGGAACTTCTGGTTAGACAGTTAGTTTATCAAGGAACTACACTGCATGGAAGCAGATAACAGATTATGAAACTTCCTGCAGCAATTACAAACAGCAACTGGCTACTATACATGATTCTTAGATTACAATTCTAACTCAGGAGAGGCAAATCACTATTACTCCGTCCTCTACTGTTGAGGCCTCCATTGACATGACTAGGATAATAATGCTGAAGCAAAAATACGTAATTTGAGCATATCAGCATTCACTAGGCAAGACACCTCAGTCAATTAGCAAAAAGGACTTTTCCTTCTCTCCAAAATTTGCAAGCGAAGTTTCACACTTAATTAAATATCCTCACCTTATGAACATGGAAACATTCCGAAAAAGAGGGGAATAAAGTTCTCGATTGTTGACAGCAACTGGAGCATTCTCAATTTGCACCTTTGCAGCTAAAATTTCCTGATCCCTTATTGAGGACCATCTCGGCCTCTACAAGCACACAAGTCAGTTTAGATTTGCAGAAAAAGTGAAATAGTTGTAATCTAATTCTTAGTCCTATTAGTGAAATGTTCATACCATCGAACGAGAAGATACTCGGTGCCGCACATATATACGGTTCATCTCCACTATAGTTGTAACTGATTTAGGTGGCATATCACACCTCATTTGCTTCTTCCCTGGATCGATCGTAGCTGATGATCGATTTTGTGAAGATGTACGAATATTTTGTGCACCAGCAGAATGAAAGGAATCACTTGCATTCCACATCAAGTCTTTCAAATTGTTCGTGTCAGATGGAGCCCTGGCAGGTGTGGCAGGTGATGCAAGTGTTGTGGAATGGAACTCAGTTTCTGAATCTTTCAATGTTTCTCGAGGCAAACTCGAAGTTTCTGATTGAATAGCATCTGATGATGTTCTATTGTTTGGTTCCACAGTCTGCTCCAAAGAGGTGCCATGCGTATCACCGGCCATGACTGGGACATAAGTATGATTTTCAAGTTCACTGCCCTGCATTACCAGACTCTTGCTCATCTGCATGATATTATCAGAGGACAAACCACCATCTTTACTTTTAACTGCACCCATTTCAATCACATGATCAATCCTGCCTTCAGGTGCGTTACTTTTCTCTTCTAGTCTGTCCACTCTATTCTGCCCATCATAATGCCCAATGTCCTCTCCTCCATTAAAATTCTTATTGCTTTTAAACACTCCAACAAACATGAGAGCTTCTGCGGATTCTGAAATGTTAACTGTAAGAGGGTAGCGAACCATCACGGATTTAGCAGAGGAATGCGTGTTCAAGAAGGTGGAATCGTCACCGGTCAAAATCTTTCGATTGGGTAATAAAGACTGAAGAGCATTTCCATATGGAAGCAGCAGAGACTGAAACATCAAGTGAGTGGCAGCGACTAATGCCACTAGAAAGAGCCATCTCCTATTTTTGCTTAGGAAGAGCATTTCAAATTTAACACAAAGCCCCATAGCAGGAAGAGAAGGATCCACACCAACACTTAAGTTCAACGAATCATCTTCCAACGAAAAATGACACGCTTTTTTTTCAGTTCTGCAGCACAAGTGGATGTTAAAATAGTCTCAGTGACAGGAAAAACCAGAAAGGGAAAGGTAAAAGAAACAAGAATTTGATTATCAAAAAAAAAAAAAAAGAAACAAGAATTCTACAAGCAAAGCTTTAGAAAACCAACAATGAGTTATCTAATGCAGGTATCTAGCACAAGTCACCACAAAGAGGCAGAAAGAACTGAAGGTTGAACGCACTTGAAAGTTTGAAATGATCCTAGGTGACAACTAGAGACAAAAACATATTGCCATTTTCCTTAATAGAATGAAATCGACATGCACGTAAATCATAATGAAACAATCGAAGCACTCGTTCTCAATGTCAACTGCGCATCACCCAATTACAGATCAACTGCAAATTTACTTGGATAAACACCAAATTACCGAGAACCATTATATGAAGAAATAACTTTAATTGCTTTTCAAACAGGACATCCCCAGATATATACTGATCAAGTGCCCACCAAAATTTAGCCAGGTGATATTGGCAATCAACCCCAAATGAAGAAATCCTTTATGCCTCTGTAGCAGAGAAACTATCTCAAGCCAACAACACCGGGTTACATGTTAAAACACCGATTCGAGCACAACAAAACGAGACGACATTGTGGCATAATTCAACCCAAGCAAGTGCAAAGCAAGAATTTTGAAGCAGACTCTTGAGGAATTTCTGCATTCAAGCAAATTCAGAAGCAAAATGAGAGAAGAACTCTTACTCATCCCCAATCAGCGTGCCAGCCTGAAGCAGTGGCAGTCACGAGCCACCGAGAGACGAAGCAAACCCAGAACTACTCCGCGCTGAGCAAGCAGCTTCAAACCCTAAAAAGATGCTTCTTCACCAAACTTCAAAGCGACCAGAACACTGGAAGAAAAGGAAAATGGCACCATGTCAAACTATTCTGGAAGTAAAAACAACAATCTATGACGCAAAGCCGTGGCTCTTCTCCCTGTCTTGATGAAGCTCAGAGAAACAGAGAATCTTGCATCACACCCACAAGAATTTTTCGATATAAAATATGGGATTTGCATGTTCAAGATCCAGCAAGCAGTACAGGGAGTAGATTAATTAACTGATAAACAAAACAAGAAACATTCTGATCCTTCCCACAGTCAATTTATTAACTAATCTTCTCGAACTAATCAAGTGATTAACGATGCTAATGTTGATGACTGTGTGGGTCAAAACATCAGTGGAATCAATTCGTGGGTCTTCTTCAGCGACTTGCTTGCTATCCACACTCGCGGTTGTAAATGTGTTTGGTAGCAGTTACTGTTGATGGTTGAATGCTCACAGCATTTAATCGAGGACGGGCGCCTTGGCCAGGGACATAAATTTGTCTTCTTGCTCATCAATGACTTTGCCCAGTTCGATTGATTTTCCTTTTTTTTACTTTTCCCCCTGTTTAATTACACCCGAGTGACCATGAACCTAAGCAAGTCTTGCGTCTACACCTCGAGATTATCAGGATATAAAATTTTCGAAAGGTAATACCTTTTCCTGAAAAAGACAAAGGTATAAGAAAAATTAGAGGTACAAAGCATATAGGTATCAGCACCGACACCGCATCTGTGAAGCCCACCCCACATAATGGGAACAGGCTGTGGAGGGGCTTGTTGGAGTTTCGGCTGCCTTTTTAAGCAAGCTTTACCTCTTAACTAAACACTAAAACTCCAAAAGAAGAAGCACCATTTGCGGCTTGCCTTTATTCTTCTTTGTCGGGGATTTTCGGTCTTCCTCCGTGTTTTCTCGAAAGTTGTTTCATTATAACAAAAATGTTTCAAAATAGTGTGGTTTGCACCAAAATATCCAACTAGAAAAACATAATTTTCGTGGCACACTGGTACATTACCCTGAAATGAGTAGGTGGATGGATTAATTAATTGAGTAAATCCGATGCATGTACTAAAGTTGATTTAGACAATCAGATTCGGTAAGTGAGACCCACCTTCTTCAATGTTCCAAATTCAATTTAGTATATACTACTGTCGAGATATACACCGTAGTTATATGGTTAGGAATTATGTAGTTATCTTATGAAGGGTAGGAAGTTGATAGTTTGAAGGATGCGCTTATTCATAATCTTGTCTTTGTATTCTTATCTTCTGTCTTTGTAATTTAATTTGAAGATAAATAGGGAAGGCCTAATTTGCGAGACTAATCTCACTTTTCTCGTAAGAATATAGAAGATACGAATTTTATGATGGAGTACACTGGGCTCCCATTGTCGGACTAATCCGAATGGCGGTCTCGGTGCCGTTCACATGAAGTAATTATCGATGACACAAATCTGTGTTGTCGAGGGATAAACTTGTTACTTGTCTAAATACTCACATTGTTCACCAGCAGTTCGGCCAACCTTAATGTAATGGAATTAATGCAACTTGCCGTTAACACAAAAACTCATGATCTGTCCTCTAGAAAGCCTCAGATGTCTTATCTAAGTTGAGATTAAGATGTATTTTGGCTTTTCACTATAAGGGTAACCTATGAAGAGTCTGATTAGAACAAAACTGCTACCAAATGTTGTCAGCAAATTGAACTACTACTTTTCACATGAAAGACTACTTCATTGCACAGGCTGTTAATTGATCTTTGCAGAATAGAAGTCTTCAATTACAGTATCATATTTACAAATCCACGGCCATCAATCATATCGAAAGTAAACGAAGGATTCCGCGATCCAGACAGGAAAAGAGGACAGCTGATCAAATCAGTCACGCCTGCAGATTAATCTAGATCCTGCGAAAGCCATGTCTAATATGGCCATGATTCAAGGCTCACAAGGTCAAGCACAGTGCTAACCTTAAGCGAGGCATGTGACCTCCCGGCATAGACTTCATCTCTGATTACTGATTTTCCAGTCTCTCTAGCTTCCATGGTTAATTAAGTACTTCTGAGTCTGTTGGTACCCGCTTTGGCTGTACCGGAAGGCCGAAAAAGTCGCTGCTTCATCTGGTTTTTAGTTGAAAGATTCTGTTGTGCCATATTGAGTGGAGAACCATGTGAAACAAGTCATATTTCGCAGGCTTTTTGTGCCAAATGAAATGCTTTTGCACCATTCGAACTCCCATCTGCATCCGAAGGTACTCTTCTTCAGGAATGGATAGCAGGATGTCTCTCAACTTTGGAATGTCACTCTCTTTCACAAACAAGGAGAATGCCTCCCAGTTCAAAACCTCGAAGAGAGGAGGCACATAATTGTCCGATATTATAACAGGGACGCACTCGTAGAAAATGGCCTCGACAATACGGGGTGTGTGAACTTCATAACCTCTGGCACAAATGCAGTACCTGCTGCTTTTCATGTATTCCTGATAAGCTCTTTTTCCGTCAATATCACGAGGCATCGGCCCCAAGATTTTCATGTCGGCTTCCTTGTTCTCCCAGTAATGGCGCAGAATTGGCCGGAGATAACCATGCATGCTTCCTGCAAAGAAGGCCAGGATGGCTCGTTCTAAGGGGGGTTTGCCACCGATATCTCTTACAGGATCCTCCACAGAGCGCACATATGTCACTGGCAGAGTAGTGTCTTTGCCAATTATGAATCCTCTGGCGCCATTCGCATTGCAGAGAGCTCGAATGCAATTCCCCATAGGTTGCCTGGTTATTTTGGGCGCCTGAAAAGCCAAATATCATGTTAGCTTAAGGATTACCCAGAAAACTTGGCTTTCGCTTAGTTCAAATCAGTTTCGACATTGCACACTAGTTTCTTTTCTATTTGCATTTTCATTTTCTATCCAATCAAGGCAATGAATGGTTTGAAATGATATTTTTTACTTTTTGGGATCATATTCCTAAAATCTAAAGCCATCCGATGAATGGATAGATAGCTTGTAATTGGTAATGGACCTTCCAAGATATGATAATCTTGTAGGCCACTGCTATCCTAATAAGCAAGATCAAAAAAGGTACTTCAAAAGCTAAATATTATTCAAAAGGGTTATATTGTTCTGGCTTAAAAACTCTAGTAATAAGCAAAATCAAGAAAGCTACTTTAGAAAGTAAATATTAGAATGGTTACACGTGTACCCAGTCATGACAAGCGACGAGAAAGTGATCCGCTCCTCTGCTTCTATTCCAGAAGCGATATTTACCAGAGATCAGATCGACATAGTTCTTGAGATATCCCTCTAGATCTCTGTGACTCTGCGAGTTGTTATTTTCTAGTGTCTTCCTCAGCATTTGTGAGCTAAAGGGCAGGTAAAACAGGTGTGCCTTTCTCGGGTCCCTCACGACAAATTTCTTGTTTCCCTCCATCAGTTTCATAAACCACCCTTCGGAGGAGTATATTCCCCTCATCTTTGGCTGGTGAAATATGGGTTTCTCTCCTTCCCGGTAGACATAAACTTTAAGCATTTTTTCCATCAATTCGTAGCTCCTGCAAACAAAACAAAGTAGCTGCATCAAATAAACTCAAAAAGTACATTTGCTCCATTAATGAAGAGTATCCATAGTCAATAACATGAGCATCAATATAAGGAAACAGTTCATAAAACCCTTAATTGGCAAACAGATAAAGTAGAATCTCCTTAAAAAGATGTCCTATCAAGGCTCCTTACAAAGTAGCATTAGCCAGAAGTTTTATTCTCGGTAAGGTTGACTATAAAAAATCAATGGCATTCTAGATACTGTTTAGTAATTGAATTAACTGTACACAACTGGATACTCCAGTACAAATTTACCAGTCTAACCCAAGAATTTTTAAAGGATTCATGTTTTCCAACAGTAAATAGAGAGGACATTTCAACGATCGAGACCCTATACATATGCTGCTCGACTGCCGTGCATTACAAAATAGCAGAGAGAGTTTAACTACCTTTTAAACTGGGAAATGTTTCTGAAAACATAACCTCTGAGTCCTGCAGTATCGATTATAATAGGAGCCTTCTGGATCTCTAACTTTGCATATAGTAGTTCGCGATCACGGACAGAAGACCATCTTGGTCGCTACTGCCAACAAAAAGCACCAGTCATACTATGACATAATCACATTCACCCCCTTGGCAACTTTCATCTTCAAATTCAAAGTCATACCAAGGTATTTGAAGATCCAGCACTTTGTCTCAACATAGATACCATTTCTGATATCAACATGGGCTTGACATTTAACCTCTTTAAAGCTCTAGCCATTGTAGACTTGTCATCAAGGGTCAAAGATACAACTCGCAGCTTGTTGGCATCTCTCTTCACTTCTCGCTTGGTTGGAATTCTGAAATTGCTTATATTGGAGAAACCTGTCTGAAACTCCGAGATAGATCTTAAATCTGCATCCTCATCTGCTAAACTCTGTGCAGGAAATTTAGCTGGTGAAAGTGGTAGAGAAGCAAAATCCACAGATGAAACCATGTCTTTTCCTGCGTCTTCTACCTTTCTTGAAATGGAAATCAGGTTAGTAGCCTCCTCCACAGTAGACACAACATTTACATCATCATCGTTTCCAGTCTGCAAATCCTTTCCATGGTGGACACTCATGATAGATATGGAGTTTTCGTTCAAGTTGCTACTTTTATGAGGTGAGAAAATGTCGTCTGAGTTCCTCTGAGCCTTGTCCAAATCTTTCACTCCGATATTCTGAAAGCCACTCTCTTCCTCCAAATCAGAGCCAGCAACCTTGTCAGACTCCTCATGCAGTACGTAAGAGTCAGGTGATTTTGAGCTGTCCGAGATGGTGGCATTGCTCATTACCACTACCGTCGAACCAACTCCTCCCCCGACGACGAATGCAAATCCTGTTCTCCCATGAGGGAGTGTGGAGTATTGAAACACAGCTAAAGCTGTGACGATTATGCTGGCGATGAACAGCAGCCTCCTCATATCCACAAAAACAAAGCCTTGGACCATAAGCAGCAATCTCCAAATTTTTTATATAGTTTCCAAAGTGACAGAGTCGATGAGTTCTTCCGCCTATACTCCCACAACAGAGGTGTCAGAAATCCCACGACCTGAAATTTTAAAGCAATAAGTAACTATCAACAAAGGAAAGACAGCCTCACGAGGCATGAATCTGATGTCAGTAAATCGAAATCAACTCGAACCATACAACAAAAACCACAACTCAGAAGAAGGAAACAATTCTTACTAATCAACCACCTTCACATAAACACACCCATTAACCAATTAATTGTCCATGGTGCTCACTGCTCGTTTAAACTTGAAATTGAAACAGCATCACATCCAAAGCGATGATCTTGGCACGTATCAAAGAGTACTACTCAAAAACCACAGAACTTGTTAAGAGAGCCGGTCCCTTTTAAACGATGGGCAGCAATTACACATCTTGATCCTCTCAAGCTCAATCCTAAAGGGGCAAGCTTTGGGTGGAACCATATTCAGTCTATCTGAGCAAAACACGAGAAAGTATCTCAACTGAAGCGAACTTGAAGATACATTTACTTCGATTGACACGACTAACACTCCTCGGAAGGTATCAACTTTTCAAGACAACATCAGTGAATCTTGCGAGCATGAGGACATTAAACCTCTGCAACTAAGAAGCAAGAACTCCGTTGCAGCGATCAGGAGAGGGAGTTTTCGACTCATTGGTTCAGCTTTCATTGTTAGACAAGAAAGGGTACCTGGGAAGTTCGCTGTACTGCATTTTGAGCTCATCTTGACTGTTGTCGGTCACCATACTGTGACCATGGCTTCGGTAGCGGAAGCTGTTGAGAGAAGAAGCCCAGATAGAGACACTCTTAACAACAATTGACCATGTTGAGGAATGTACAGCGTGTTCGAACGGAGGAGTAAAAGTACTTTGCTTAGGCTTTGGCTACTGCCTGAATCTTCTTGTGAGGTTTGTTTTGCTCTACTTCTGGGAAGTGCTAGTTCGAGAAAAAAAAAAACGTGAATTTATCTTTATAATTTTGATCCGAATTTTTTTTATCTGAATAAAAAATACTAATTTTCATTCGAATCTCAAATTTAGCTTCCGTGATTTAAAATTTTCAAATTATTCGAAATTTAAGTGAAAATTAGTAATTTTTTATGAGAAAAAAATTCAGATTAAAATTTTCACTCAAGATAAATCCTTGCAAAAAAAAAAAAAAGGAAGAACAGACGAAACTTGAGTAAGTCTATATTCTTCATCTCCTTAACTTTTTCTCCAAAAAATTCCTGTCTTAATTCAATATTTCCTACAATTAGTACATCATAGGACGATATGTTATTACTATCTTCAAACAGTGTTTTTATTGGATTGAGCTTTATAACTTCTGTTATTATAATATTAGATAATTCCCAAAAAGGGAAATACTAGAGAAAGAGCAAACATGTTGTCCTTGTCGAAAAGTGATTTAAAAAATTTCAATTCATAAAATTTGAAAAAGGTAAGTGATATATACTTGGCATCTGATAATCTCCAGACTCAGTCTGACCTATTGGTGTTTATCCTAATTAGGAAAATTTAAGATTGTAATGACAAAGCACGAGGTACATCTTTTCAAGTATCCCAAATAAACCCTAGTCCTACTGATTACTCCAAGATTGATACAACTTACATATATTACTGTATATATCACCATGATGACTTTTCAAGTAACTTTCCCATCTGAGTATACTTGAGTTTTATTTTGAAGACTTTAGTTTTGCTTCAGGAAAAGGCAATTTTATAGACCTATATAACTATATATATTCACAGACTTGTAATTTCATGAGCTGTGAATTTCAAGGGGTGAAAGAAAGAGAGAAGAAGTCGACATGGAGAGAGGTCCCAATCAAAGCAATCTCTCCTCCAAGAGCGTTGCTTTCCCTGAAGAAGAACACAAAGCAAGGCTTGGAGCATCATTGTTTCTTTCCATACTGAAGTACATGGAATTGAACAAAGAGGGAGGAGTCCGACCAATGCAGCAACATGGGCAATCGAAAGACGTCCAAGCTAGTTCAAGTTCAAGTTCAAGTTCACGTCCAAGTCCACCAACTCATAGGCCACAGTGCGAACCACGGGACTCCACGACCCGACCCTACCCACACAAGCCCTACCCTCCGGTAGTCCGGAGCGTGAACGCGCTTATCGACTCGATCGGGGAATGCGGCGAGCCGTTCGAGAAGCAGTTGACGACGAGCGACATCATCGGCATTCAAAGCCGGCTGCTCGTGAACAAACCGGACTTTGTAAAATCTATCTTGCCCTTGCTCACGAGGGGCGACGACATTGAGGTGGGAATACCAGTGAGGACGTATAATCCAGCGGGGAAGCCGTACCCTATGACGTTCAAAATTTGGTGTGGTCGGTCGCACGTGATCACTAGCGGATGGAATCTATTTGTTAAGGAGAACCAATTGGAGGTCACGGATATCGTTAGGGTATGGGCGTTTCGGGACTATCGGACCAGAGAATTATGCCTTTTGATTTCGAGTAGAAGGCCGGAACCGCAGGAGCCGATTGAAAAGTAGAAGAGGCATGAACTGAAGGACCAGGTTACTTCAAGTTGAAGGAGGTAATAAAGGTCCTTTTCTTTGTCTAGGGTTGATGGGTTTTTGCTGTAGATATTGCGTTTATTTTCAGCAGCTTATTATTATAATTATTATTATTTTCGTGTAAAGAAAATTTAAGTAGCTTAGTCCAATGCGAATTAGCAAGGTGATATAGAGCAATTTGAGTGTATGTTAGTTAATTTGGGGAAGCTATTTAATCGTTGCATGTGCATATTTTTTGATAATCATGAATCAAAGAGGTGGTAAATTCTCGACGTATCCCGGTTTTCGTACTATATGCATAAGCTAATTTTGATAATTACTTGAGATCATGGAAATTTTGGTGATGAATTGGTTAATTCTTATAGCTAATAGCTATTTCATCTTATTGATTGGTGGCGCAAAAAAGTTACGGAGGTTCTGCTGCAATATATAAATCCAAGTATTATCACCTTTTTAATTTGAGGAAAAGGAAAGCGCAGGAACTTTTGAAAATTTACTTGACTTGTGTGATAAAAAAAAAAAAAAGAAGGGGAAAAGAACCAAACAAATCATAAACTTATCACACTTGTTTGAATTCAATCCTAAACATTTCAATCACACTAATTGAGCCATAAATTTTTTGACGATTTGCCAATGTAGTCCACCCGATCAATTTTGGCCGGAAATTGTTACCATGTAAGTTGGCCGTCTTAACAGGCACTAATGCAGACAAATTTTACAAAATTTTTATATTTTTTCAGAATTTTTTATTCTTTTCTTTTCGTTTCTTTCTTTGTTTATTTGCAACTCTAGGCTAGCAAGGTCGCCGATTGACCATTGTCGACCACGGGTAAGGGCTAGTGACCCTCGCTTGGTTTGGGCAACGACGTCATGGCCCTCGCCCAGATCCAGGGGAGGGCTGACACCCTCGCCTATTGACCAGCGAGATCTGGGCTAGGGGTAAAGCCCTTGCCTAAGAGCGAGAGCCTCTACATCTAAGATCCAAGTGAGCGCAGTGATGTCCTCACCCAAATCCAAGAGAGGAGAGTGCATCGCGGTCTTCTTTTGGATTTGGGCGAGCACCCGACGCCTTAGGTTTTGGTCAACGAAGGGCGGAGGCCCTCTTCTATGGCCAACGACGGTCGCCGACCCACAATTGGGAAAAAAATGAAAGGAAAGAAAAAACAATAATAATTCATAAAAATTAAAAAAATTAATAAGTCATCCATATCAGAGCCAGCCGTACCACATAAGACGTTCAATGTCCATGTTAGTGATTTCAGGAAAAAATTGGTCGAATGGACTATATTGGTAATCGTCCAAAAGTTCATGACTCAATTGTCATAATTAGAAAATTTAGAATTGATTGGCACAAATATAATAGGTATAAGACTTTTTTGGTACTTTTCCCAAAAAAAGAAGAAGTCATGCTTCAATGAAATCTATTCATAGAAGGCTAACAAAAGGAAGTTGCCAAAAAGAAAGATGAATATATATATATACTACCAAGCATTGATTCTTCTGTAACGGATTATATTTATAGCTTTCTGAATGACCAACACTAACTCATATTGCGAATTTTAGAAGCTATTTTTTTTTTAAATAATCATATTGTCATCTGCCACTACTTTTATGAATTTTAGAAGCTGAAAAAATATTTAAAGAGAAAAGCTAAAACTAGTATGAAAGAGCATCACATGGAAGAGATGAAATTATAATTGGAAATTTAATGGGATAATTCACTTATTTCAAAATTGTAAAGTTACTGATCAAAACCGTAAGATTGTCCTTTCAAGGGTGTAGGTTGGTAAATTTGGTCCATTTGGAAGCATGGTGAGTGTTGCGATTTCCCCGAACTGGTCTCACCATCTAAGGGGTTTGGCTAATAGATTGCTAAATCTAAACCTAAGACTTGACTCGGACTCTCCCAAGTCTATACTAACTTACAATTTAAGATTTAAGTTATTAACATGCAAATCAATTTCATCAAGGAGTCGCCATTAATAAGTTTTTGGTAGATCGATTAGACACTCAAGTAAAGCATGGGAGAATTCCTTCACTTCTACGAACCAGATATTCAATGGGTACGAGGACTTAGTTATACTAATTGACCAACTAGTGCCCTTTCGATTCCTAATCACCACCTAACGTGTTCACATCAATTGTGAGTCTCAAAGTTGTATCCCTAACCAGGCTAAGGGAAGCAACAATCAATATGAGAACTTAACATACCTAATCAACTATACGCAAGGTTAAATTAAACACGCAATTCAAAATATGTGAATCAAATAACGTGCAATCAAACATTGCACTAATCACAAAGAAATGGCAAGAAAATGCAATTGCAAAGCCCAAATACTATTTTTTGATTTTCGAATTTTTTGATTTTTTTAAAATTTTTAACAAAAAAATATTTTTTAAATATTAAAATAATATAAACCGGACCTGGGTCGGATCTCTACATCCGACCCCCAAGTCCACCACGAGGTGGGCTCCGCGAAGACCCAATTCGGAATACCCTAAAATCCAAATAAAACAATTAAATAAAAAACACCCAAGCCCAGCCCACTAGGAATAAAAGACTAAATAAACCTTCAGCCCAAATCACCAATTCGGCCCACCCACGAATGGCCCAAAACCTAAAAAAACTCTAGTCCTAAACCAAGAAAAGCCCAAAGCCATTCAACCCTAATAGACTTGAAACCGGCCCAAGCACAAGCCCTACCCGGTTGGACCCGCGCGCCCGACCCGGCCACCGCCCGCCCACCCGACTCGCCTGTGCGCCCGACACTTCACCTTCCACGCCTGCCGCCCCGACTCGCCCGATGCCTCCACGCCCGAGGCTTCGGCTGCCCGAGCCGCCTGCCGCTGCCGCGCCTACCTCGGCCGGCCCTAGCGCCGACGACCACGAGTGCCGAGCCACCTGCGAGCCGACCAAGCCCCAACGGAGGACTGGCCGGCCGCTTCCCGGACCGCCACCCAACGCAGGCCTCCTTCGCCCATGTCGCCGCCGGCCACGAACCGGTCAAGAACGAGGCATAAAAAGAAAAAAAACTACTCTTTGGGCGCATTTTAACGAACAGTTGGAGTGCGTTGTGAAAAAGAACGATTTCGGCTCGATCAAGACTCAAACTCGGCCGGGGTTCTCGACTCGAGACATACAGGAACGCGGAAGCAAGCATGAGGACGTCACGGGCCGGAACTCGCGCGAGCCGGACGGCCGCGAGCTCCGGCCAGTGTGCCCAAGAACAGAGCAACTGGAACCGAAACAGGGGAAGGAGAGACGGCTATTTGTGGCACTCCCTACCCGGCTCGGCGGCGGCGAATGAGGGCGAACCGATAGATCGGACTACGTCCAGTCGCGTCGCGCACCTCCGAACCGGAATCGTCGGGAAATCGGGCA